AACATTAGCTCATGACGATACCTAAGTACGTGTGTCGCCTGGACAGTCTACGCTACATCCTTGTTGACTGGACAATCTCTGCACTACATGAGCTGCTGTTTACATGTGAACGTTAGCTCATGACGATACCTAAGTACGTGTGTCGCCTGGACAGTCTACGCTACATCCTTGTTGACTGGACAATCTCTGCACTACATGAGCTGCTGTTTACATGTGAACGTTAGCTCATGACGATACCTAAGTACGTGTGTCGCCTGGACAGTCTACGCTACATCCTTGTTGACTGGACAATCTCTGCACTACATGAGCTGCTGTTTACATGTGAACATTACCTCATGACGATACCTAAGTACGTATGTCGCCTGGAGAGTCTACGCTACATCCTTGTTGACTGGACAATCCCTGCACTACATGAGCTACTGTTTACATGCGAACATTAGCTCATGACGATACCTAAGTACGTGTGTCGCCTGGACAGTCTACGCTACATCCTTGTTGACTGGACAATCTCTGCACTACATGAGCTGCTGTTTACATGTGAAAGGTCGGTTGTTCTTTGTTAATTTATCAGCTTTATATTGATAAAAGGATTACTCCTTAAGTGTAGTTAATGCCGAAGCCCCACAAGTGCCTAGGACAGTGACAATGCCTAGTTATCTATGTTTGATATCTGTTATCGCGGAATGATAAGAGATAAGACTATGAAACACGGTAATATTATTTTTAACTTGCCATTTTATTGTGAGTTGGAGTTTTTTCAATGAGGTTAACGTGTTATGGTGACGACAGAGTAGGATATATTTGTCGATATGCCGCCGACTTTTTCATATACTGTTATAAGAGCCGACTGACGAAATTAATAACCGATATGAATCCAAAATCATTTGAGTTTAGCTCGATTTAGTTGACATTTAGTTGTACAGAGTTAGGTACTGCCAAAAACCGTAGACGTTTTTTAAAAGAGTAACGTATTGAGTTTCTTGCTCGATCTTCTCCATTCGAATCTACATTTTGAAATGACCTAGCTTCACTGACGGACTGATCGACAGACTAGTATTTATTTTGTATTTGTTGACGTTTCAAAAGTACCAAATTATGGTTTAATTGCCGCGGAAAACTTAACGGGTTGCCGGGGCTCCGGCTCGAAGTGCAGGAGTAGGAACGGGGTGGTTTTTAGTCAGTAAGAGTCTGGCACTCCCTCACGCCAACCCTCACACAGGCGGGAGCAGTAATTCGATGATTTTCCCTTCTTAAAAAAAAATGGTTTAATTGGAATAAATGCTTTGACTTTGACTTTGACGTAATCTCGGTGTTCTTACCAAAAATTTGGATAAAATTTGGTTATTATTTCTTTAAAGGTTCTCCGGTATATCTAATTCATATAGGTACTGCAATCTCCAACCTACTTGCCAAGCGTGAAGCATAGTAGAGCCTTCTTTGGTACCGAAGGTCCATAGTCCACCAGTGGACTCTTAGGAGTTGCTGAAATGTCATCTTGTATCTCGTACTCTCATATAAAGCGAAAGAGTTTGTTTTTTGTTTGTTTGTTTGAACGCGCTAATCTCCGTAACTAGAAGTCTGATTTGAATAATTCTTTTTGTGTTGGATAGTGCATTTATCGAGGATGGCTATAGGGTATAAAACATTACGCTACAACCAGTAGGAGCTGAGCAGAGCGTGTGAAACCGCGCTGAAGTAGCTAGTCTTATATAAAGCTGAAGAGTTTGTTTGTTTGTTCGTTTGAACGCGCTAATCTCAGGAACTACCAGTCGGATTTCAATAATTCTTTTTGTGTTGAATAGTCCATTTATCGAGGAAGGTTATAGGCTATAATACATTATGCTACGATCAATAGGAGCCGAGCAGAGCGGGGCATCCGCGCGGCAGCAGCTAGTACGTTATAAAACGCATCATAATGTTATTTCAGAGACATAAAGAACAAAAGAATGCCGACTAAATTGGATATGGAACAAGAATACATACTTTTATTACGACTTAGATGCAATGATCTGTATAATCCATACCATCAACTCGAAACAATCCACTAAACGACACTATAAAAATACCCGTAAGAATTGACCTAATTACTTAGTAAGGGGGGACATTTGGCATTTGGAGATTAACTAGCTTTTGCCTGTGGTTATACTCGTATCAATATTTTGGTCTACTTAATGACTGACTCTATTTTTCAAATTCTACTTACTTTAGAAAGGATGGATGAAAGTAGAGTAACGAAATAAGTATACAGAGTGGATATGAATGGGGCCGTCGGTAGAGGGCGCCCTGGCCGATTGGCGATGTATTAAAGAAGGGCCAAATTAAAAGTACTCTTAACCGACGAGCATGCATGAAAAGATTGATGACTGTGTATGAAGCAAAAGGGGTATGTAGGAATCGTAGTAATTGGCGTTCCATAGTCTCTGCCTATCCCTATGGAACGGAGAACCTAACGGGTAACCGGGACTCCGGCTCGACGTGCAGGAGAAGGAACGGGGTGGTTTTTATTCAGTAAGAGTCTGACACTCCCTCCCGCCTCACCCAGGTGGGAGCAGTCATTCGATGATTTTCCCCCCTTAAAAAAATATCCCTATGGAAGACAGATGTGAAGTTGTCTGTATGTAATATATCTACTTATTAAAAATAGTGCAAGGACCAAGCGAGACTTTGCCTCGCTAATTACCCGTGTTTTAATAGTTTGAGTACTTGTGCGACCGACCTCTGGCTGCGCATATCTGGCAACCTCTTCGGGGATTACAAAGCGCGAAATTATGTCGATTCTTTTGTTAAATATTTGTTATATTTGTTTTATTACACAATCAAATCTTAAACCTTTCTAGAACAAGACAATTAGTACGTAATTAATTATGATAAATAAACAATTGAATGAATGTGGAAGTCAGTTGATCTTATTGTTGTTGAACACGGTAATCTCCTATCCGAATACTAAAATTCTTTTGGCGTTGCGGAGACCATTCCTCAAATTTAAGTGTAGCAGAGCCATGTTTCACCACGAATGAGCCAGCTCGACCGGAGTAATACCACGACCGAGCAGAAAACCGACGTGAAACACCAAAAGCATTGTTTTGTCGTGTGAGTGAGGTTACCGGATGCCCAATTCCTCTTCTCCCCAATCCTTTTTTTTATGGAATAGGAGGCAAACGAGCATATAGATCACCTGATGGTAAGCGATCAGCGCCGCCCATGGACACCCGCAACACCAGAGGAGTCACAGGTGCGTTGCCGGCCTTTTAAATCCCTAACCCCTAAAAGGTCAGCAACGCACTTGAAAGTGTGTGTCCCTCTAGTGTTCCAGATGTCTGATTGCTTACCATCAGGTGATCCGTCTGCTCGTTTGCCCCCATCCAATAAAAATGCAAGGGTATTCAACATAATATTATAGAAGCGACAGTTTGTATGTTTGTAACTCCGTCACGCATAAACGGCTGGGGGAATAGCGACGAAACTTGGAACAGGGGTTGATTGTGGTCTGGAATAACACATAGGCTACTTTTTGTCCCACGGGAATGCGGACGAAATCGTTGGCAGAAGCTAGTATGCTATAAAACATCACGGTACGACGAGAAGCTTCAAAGTCAAAGTCAAAGTCGAAATCATTTATTTCAATTAGACCAGGAAGGCACTTTTGTACGTCAACAACAAACATTTAGAAGTGAAGCTATTTGCTCATTCCAAGGTGTAGATTCCTATGTAGAAGAACGAGCAAGAAACTCCATAGGTTACTCTTTTTCAATCATGTTCACTATACAATTCTCTAGTTACATAGCGTTGTTGGTTCGATTGTGTGAGAACATGAAACATTCCGGCAAAGAGCTCAGCTCATTATTATCAGAGACTCCTAATATCTTATACAGTCAGCTTGAATAAGGTACTATGAATCGCTGATAGTAATTTATGTGTGTCTAGGCTAGCTATCAGGAAAATAACTTAATGATATAAGAACTAAGTATAGTTAGAACAAGGATGACATAATAATGTATACCTAAGTATCATGATTACCTATGACGTAGCTCATCATCAAGATCTACAGCTGGTGACAGTCCACTGCTGGACTATACCTTCTCTACATAAGAGTGGTTAGCAGGTGGGTAGGAGATCGCAGTATAAAAGGTTCAGGTTTATCAGAGAGCGCTGCTGCCCGGTCTCTGTCTAATGTGTAGTCGCATAGTCGGGTATACGACACCCGCGGGAAGAGTAGCGGTGGTGACAAATGCATTCTACTCTGCTTTAAACTTGAGTAGGTATAGAAGTCATTAAAGACATTTAGGTAGTTATAATAAGAATGAAATATAAACGCAATATCTCATACTTAATTAGATTTTAATTATTTTATTTTTAGTGTGACTCTCATGGAAAATATATTCTTCAATGTCCAAGACAATAATTAGCGTACCTAACATAATGAATTGTAGGTATTTTAAAAGAAACCCATTTGTAAATTCCTTTACGAAAATAACTTCCATAGATATTGTTCACATGCAAACAGCAGCATAGCGAAAAGATGACCATACATTTGTCAGCATCCCTACTCTTCGTCGTATACCCGATTAAGGGACTATAGGTACATTTGACAGAGACCGGGCAGCAGCGCTCTCTGATAAACCTGAACTGTTTATGCTGCGGTCTCCGACCCGCCTGCCTGCGGAGATTATGGCAAACCCTTCTTATGTAGACGAGGCTCATAGTCCAGCAATGGACTCTAACGAGGTATAGATGTATATATAAACGTATGTACTTATACCTAAGTCAATGACGTTAATCAACCTTGATTTTTAGTAGATAACTCAAGTTTATGATAAAACTTTAGTTGTTGAGAAATTGTACACGAACACAAATTAGCAACGAAATTACGCATTAAACTGTCAAACACCAAGCGGTCACCGGTGACCGCAACCTATTGTTCTATAATTGTGTCTACAATACCGGTACTCGACGAGTTAAAAACACTTGAGAATATAAAATAATAATCAACACAAACTTACATGCACAAAAAATTCCATAAACGCACTGTTTTTTGGAAAAATCAACACAAAACACAATTTTTTCCCTCCGAAAATTCTTTGCACAATACCGATGCAGCACAGATTATAAATAAAAAAAAATAAAAACACAAAATGGACGACGCTCGCGACGTCCAACTCGCGAATGAATAACTAATTCAGTTTTCAAAATCGGAACGCGGAATGACCAACGTCAATTGACCTCTGAACTTCTATGCGATTCACCTTTGCTCTTCTAATTTAACATTACAAAGGGAGGCGAGGGAGGCCAACGTAGATTGGCTAGTATGCACGTCCCTACCAACTTATGTCATCAGTTCGTAAATAAGAATGTGAACTTTATACCGGTATTCATAAGGAGGCTTTTAAATAAAATTGAGTGCAAATGTAATGTGGTAGATTACTCATATGGCAAGGTAGAGTAGTGATAAGATATACAGGCTGATAAAAATTTGTTTCTAATAAAAATGTTAAGATTTTGATTTTGTTTGATAAAGATAAAATTAACATGAAAAATACAAAAGGATAAGTAAAAGAAGGTGTAATATGGTCATCTACATTTCACTTAACAAATTCCTGTAACAAAAATGACGTCACATATTTTGATTGAACAACAGGCAAAGCTGATTTATAGAAATGATTTTTGTGGCTGATTTAAATTGGAAAACTTTATGTATTGTCACCTTTTGTCATTTACGATTCAGATAGAGCCGCGTGTATGACTAACGTGCGACTTCATAATAATATGCAAACATAGATACAATTTCCGATTTCTCTTTTTTTCGAAGTAAAATATCTTGTATTTGGAATGAATAGGTGATAATGTAATGTAATGTACTATGTATATTGTATACGGAAGTTGTTGTTATACCTATTTAAATAAATAAATAAATAATGAAGACAGAATGCGACATTTAATTTCCTGAAAGACGACTTGTCCCTGTATTTCAGTTAAAGTAGAAATGTCTTACATTCCAATTCAAATTTAATTTCAGGCGAGGTTTTATGCGAAAGATAATTGTTATTGTGAACATTTCAAAATGCAAATTCTGTTATTTGTAAAGGTATTTTGGTAATAAATTCTAGTATCTTTTTCAGGGGTTAGTGAAACTAAAGTTAAGTTTGAATATAACGGCTTAAAAGAAAGAAAAAAAAATATTTATTCAGCCAGTTTGTGTAGTCATTTATACGTAAGTATGCAACGGTATGTCGGTTCGTTATTTAAGGATACGTATATAGTTTTTTTATGATGATGTCACAGTTTGGTATTGTAGTTAGCGACCAAGTGTTAGTCGAGGAGTAAAGCGGAGGTTATCAGAAGTGGATATATTCTGGCTGTTTATAATGACGATGATAATGACAAGGATGAACAAGTGTTAAAAAAATGTACACACACTACCACTGCTGACTCTATTAAGAACCATATATCTATGGAACCAACCGTGATTTTATATCATTTGTACGTAACAAGTTATAAAAACATAACATCATAACATCACGCCTTTTATCCCCGAAGGGATAGGCAGAGCACATTATGCCATTGTATAATGTAACACCCACTTTTCACGATTTATGTTATGAGTCCCATGTAATAGGGGGTGAGCCTTTTGCCATATATCGGGCACAATTCCAGACTCCGTGTTACTACTGAGAATTTTTTTAAAATCCAGTAATACTTTGCCCTACCCTGAAATCGAACCCGAGACCCCTTGCCCGGCAGTTGCACTTGCGACGACTCGGCCAACGAGGCAGTCAGTTATTAAAATAAGATCGTGATAAGACGTGACCAATTCAATTGTTTTCGAAATCACGTTCTAAGATGATACAAGCACGTGATACTGTATTGCGATAAGGATAGATAATGTGCAGTTAATAAGGCACGTATTTAAAGCTTCGAATTATTATTAGTTATATTTAACGTCACGTAATTTATTTCTTAAAGGACATGGCAGAAGGATCCGATTTTTTTTTAGGATAGTTGGCAAACGAACAGGTAGTCGCATCATGTGATGAACGCCCATGTGTCTTGTGTAACCGGCAACGGCCGTTGACCCCTTTTTGGAGGTTTAGGGATTTGAGGATGTCATTTTAAATGTAATACCATGTAACAAGCTTTATGTACCTTGACTTAGTGCTATTTTTGCCCGAATCGGAAATCAAAAATTGAAACAGATCTCCTAACTTAAACAAATTAACCCCTATAAATAACATTCATAATGTATCACTGAACTAATACACCAACAAATACCATTTTTGTTTCAATAAAAACCCTGTCTAACCTGTTTTTCTGTCTATTTGCGACAAACTCAGAAACTGCTAAATGATTATTTATTCTTCATTCATGGAAGCCTTAAATGTATTGTAAGTACCTAATCCATAACAAATTGTCATCCAAATTAAAATCCAGAAAATTTTGTGAAACAAAACAACAACCTGTACATCCAAGTGTACATGTGTACACCTGTTGAACTGTTTCAATGTGTGTGTTTGTGTGTAACATACGGATATTGTGTGAGCGAGGTGATGCGTGATTGTGACATGTAAGTGGCTCTATTTAGTAGTTTAGTACTTTTTATTTTGTAATGGAATAAGTGATGTCAATTTTGTTTGTAACTGTTTGTTTGTAAGGTCATAGTAGATAGAACGTTAGACGAGTAGTGACAAGTGTGATTTCTTTCAAAAGAGGTTTTGAGTTTGATTCCCGGATTGGTAAGGTTTTATTCAGTGTTTTCGAAACAGTATCCCGATGTATAACAAAACGCTCACGCATTATTATATGGATCTTATTGTCTAACTGGTAAAAACCAGTTGTCACATTGGTTAGCTACACCTTTGCTTATCCTATCAGTTATACCATCGAGAATAAAAAGCCGTTACATTAATGTATCTATTTAATTCAACCATACAAAAACTACCCCAATTATAAAACAAATTAAAGTAGAGCATTCCACCAGTCGTACTAACCCACACACTCGTCACGCATGACGTAACACACACTAGTACCTGTGCACGGTTCACGAAACACTATGGTTCAGTGGTTAGAAGCCGTCTGACACGGGTTCGATGTCCGCGTCGAGTTTTGAGGGTGGTAGTAAAAGGTGTGAAAATAAATTGGGGAATTTTATTAATATGTTACCTATCAATGCAAAATATTGTGTGTATTTTTGTTACTCAATCTCGTCAAACCGGCTGGAGGGATCGGGATGATATTTGTAACAGGGGTAGATTGTAGTCTGGAATAACACATTGACATAGGTTATTTTTTATTTTTACGGGTATTTTTTACTGTCGCGGAGAACCTAACGGGTAACCGGGGCTCCGACTCGACGTGCAGGAGAAGGAACGGGGTGGTTTTTAGTCAGTAAGAGTCTGACACTCCCTCCCGCCTCACCCAGGTGGGAGCAGTCATTCGATGATTTTCCCCCCTTAAAAAAAACGTTATTTTTTATGCGAAAACGCGGGCAAAGCCGTTAGCATAAGGTAGTGTGTAATAAGTAAACTGGTAATTGAATCACTATCATTAGTAGATGACAGTCCACTGCTGGACCATGAGCCTCCTCTACATAAGAGGGGTTTGCCATAATCTCCGCAGGCAGCCGAGTTGGAGTTCGCAGTATAAAAGGTTCAGGTTTATAAGAGAGCGCTGCTGCCCGGTCTCTGTCTAATGTGTAGTCCCATAGTCGGGTATATGACACCCGCGGGAAGAGTAGCGGTGTTGACAAACGTATTCTATTCTCCCTTTATCATACGGCTTTACTAATAACAAATACTAACAATATATAAGTCACTCGCTCAACCATGTAAAAGTGATAAAAACACGACCCTTATATTTTTACCCTACCCATGGGAAAACAGTGACATTTTGCAAAAATACATGTGCGTTACTTACTCGGGCGTTGAACTTGTGACAGACAGTGTTTAACCACCGAACCATAGCGGATAGTTAAAAGGCTGTTATATGTCTACATATAATAAAACTGTAGAAGTGTAAATTGTGTACATTGCAAATATTAAAAAAATAAATAATATTTTAAGTGTGGGAGAGCCATGCACGAATGGGCCGACTCGACCGGAGTGATACCACGGCCGAGCAGAAAACCGACGTGAAGCAACGCTTGTGTTGTGTTTCGTCATACGAATGAGGTTACTGGGGGCCCAATTGCCCCTCCAACCCTTCCCCAACCTCTTCAATCCCTGAATTCCCAACAATCCTCAAACCCCTAATCCAAGTGCGTTACTGGCCTTTTGGATTAGGTCTCCGGTAACATCACTTGCACGGCGAAACAAACGCAAGCATAGTTTCATACCGGTGTTCTGCTCGGCCGTGGTATCACTCCGGTCGAGCCGGCCCATTCGTGCCGAAGCATGGCTCTCCCATGTGAAGGCCACACTTCAGCTTGTTTCTTGAGAACAATGCTTAATTTTTGTTATCACACCAACAGCCTATAAGTGGCCACTGCTGTGCAAAGGCTTCTTCTCACCCGGCAAGCTTGGAGCATTTGTTTTTTAAAGCCCTTTGCCCCACACTAGGATTTTCCTCTGTGTCGTGAGTGCGTTTACAAACATACAATATCACATACACACGACACCCCGACACGGAACAACAATTTGTGAATCTTACAAAGAGTTGTTTCGTGCAACACGAACCCGCAACACGTTGCGCGGCAGCCTGCGACGACACGTTGCGTACACACCAACCGTGTCGTCATTAATCACCACGCTTGCTCATTGCGGATTAGCGATTCAAACTAAATAACATAACATAACATCACGCCTTTTATCCCCGAAGGGGTAGGCAGAGGTGCACATTAGGCCACCGTACAATGTAACACACACTTTTCACTATTTATGTTAAGAGTCCCGTGTAATAGGGGGTGAGCTTATTAGCATATACTGGGCACAATTCCAGACTCCGTGCTACTACTGAGAATTTTTTAGAAACCCAGTAATACTTAGCCCGACTCGGGAATCGATCCCGAGACCCCTTGCCCGGCAGTCGATTCAAACTTATAATTAGAAATTATAAGCCCAGGTTTCCTCACGATGTTTTCCTTCACCGTTTGTCAGTGGTGTCTTCTAGATAATCTAAGAAAGTACATATAACCCGGAAATAGTCACATTGGTACTTGCCGTTGGTA